AAAAAAAAAAAAAGATATATATGGGTACAAATTCCCTATGATGAATGTGATCATTATGTATATCAAAAGTGTATCAATAAAATTAAGCTTTAAAAAAGAAAATTCTTCATTCAGATTCTAAATTCTTGAGGACAAAGATTATGTACGACCCATCCCTGTATCCGCAGCACTGTCCCTGACATCAAGTAAAGGTCCCGGTATGTGTATATATTCACCACAAAAGAAACTACCTGTGGATTATCTCTAGCAAAATTAAAATCTCAGGCTAGTTTCCTCCAGAGGGGCTCAGAGTATGAAAAATCAATTTGACATGGGCTTAACTTAAATACATATTAAGAAATCAATAATGGTGGACAGGAAGAAAAGAAAGGGGACTCAATTCCAAAAATCAAATAAAGTACAGCCAGTTCTGCTACAAGAAAACACAAATTTGCCCAAATGTGATTGATGTGCATATTAAGGGGACAATCTGAGCTTTAAAACGATTTTCACATTTGCTTATGAATAATTTTGTCTACAAAAAAACCTTAGGCAAACACAGAAAACTGCACCCTGTTCAACCTCACCACCCAGAAATACAACACACACACACACACACACACACACACACACACACACACACACCTTCAACCACCAATATACATGCTATCTCAGTTTCTGTGGCAGGTCAGGAGCCAGACTGGTACTGCAATTTTGCCTTGAATTTCAGACAATCTTCCTCCACATCACTGAGACTTGCAGGCTGCAACTATGCTGACACACTCTCCACAGGCAAACTCCAGGTCTTTTTCCAGGTAAAGTGTCATGTATACTGTTGCCATTGTTGCTCTTAGATCCCTATCTTTGTATGCATCACCAACAGAGTCACTGAGTACTGTACACCTAATCTTGTCCCTCCCTCCACCCTTCACCCTATGGTTTTTATTACACTATGTTGTATAGTATGGTAATTTCAAGAATATACATGCTGCATTACAGTAGAATTGACTATGCTACTGAATTGTCTACTGTTCAGGGATTACTTATACTGAAAATTAAAATCCTCCCATGAGAATTTACCTTCAAGAATTAAGTGCCTGAAAAGCATTTCTCTATTATCTTTCCAAGAAACCTTCCTTTGACACCCTAAGAATTAGGTTGGAATCCCTGGGAGAAGAGTTCTTGACAGGTCTGGAAGTGTAACTATCGCCAGATGCGGAGAAAGGCAAAGGCCTTAGTATTTCATCTTAGCTACTGACTTCACAGGCAAGCCTCTCTCTACAATCAAAGTCAGCTCTCCACTAAGAACATACAAGAGCTGGTACTCTGCGGCCAAACAATTTTCAGCTATTATGAGGGACAGCCAGGTGCTGATGATGCTCCATCCTTGCAGCAAGTTCTTGGCCTCAAGAGAGAAATGGGATACTTGGGCGGAGACAGTATCCAGGGGATTATGGAGGCAGCAGCTCTCTGAGACTCAACTGCTTCACTCTCCAATATGTAAGGTCTTGACTCACACAAGATGGAGAAGGTCTGGTCTCCTGCTTCAAGTCTCTGCTTGCTTAAGGTGGGGATTGCTTCAGCAAACATAGCCTAAAAAAAGTTAGCTACACACAGTTCTGATTTTCAAGGCCAAAGAAAGCAATAAGGCTCAGAAAGCTACACAAACAAAAGGAAATGACCACACACATATATTCCCTGCCTCTCACATAAACCCAGCCAATCAGAACTCTAAGTAAGCAGCAAGACTGCAGCTCTAGTAGCTCTTTATTGCTGGGGGGAAAGAAAGAAAGAAAAGGTACACAAAAATAAGTGTCTACAAAAGTGACATCTGAAAGAGGTAAGCTTTCAGCTACAAAACCCAGGGAAAAACGAATTCAATAGAGGACTAAATGTGACTCAAACACTATCAGTCCTTAAAGATTTCTAGATATAAGCATAAAGCCAAGAATTTACAGCCACCCCAAACACATACCGACTTTTCACTGTGGTGCAACTGAGAATACTTATGAGTTCCAATTCAACTCTAGAGTCTCTTCCTCCTACTCCTTCATAAAGAAGGGTTGGGCGAGCCCAGATTTAAGTAATTCATTATCCATTACATCAACCTCTTCTAAGCACTCTACAAAATTAAGGCAAATTTAACTGTAAACACCAACTTATCTGGAGAAATCTTCCCAGTACATCTATTACATAATAATCTAAATGGCATCTCAATTCATATATGTATCACATTAAAGACAGTCTAACTTTTTAAAAGACAAGGCATATTTGCAATAATAAGCAGGAGAAAACAAACACCTTCGATTTCCCTCTTAACACTTCATCCTAGGTCTTTATATACCAGGGCTCGTTGGTCCTAAGTTTTTATTTATAAAATCCCAGAGGGAGTAAAATGCTAAAGATATATGCAATAGAACAAATCATTGATAAAACAACAAACTTCCACTACTAAAAAAATCAACGTATTTTGTAAAAACAGGCCAAACTTTCTCTCCCCACTATGGGCAATTTACTATAAGAATTTTATTGAAAATAAATCCAATTCTATTTGAGTAATTATAGGAGATAAACCATGTTAAGTGTCCTCCTTTTCCCCTGTTTTAATGAATTAGAATACACAAAAGCCTCAATAAAAATGATGTAAAGGCTTATGAACATCATTCAGGTTTTTTACTAGTCACTTTCATTTCATAAAACTGCCATTTCCATTAAAGCATTATGTAAAAAATGGTATTTCACTATGCAAACATGCACATTTATCACCAACGAATTTAAGCATGCTTATAAAACACTAAGTCAATTTTACAAATGAAATCTCCTTCAAAAGTTAGAATTTTTCTTTTAAGAGATAAAAAAAAAGATTTGTGCCTCTATAAGCACATTTACTTTTAATCATTTTTCTAGTCTTGTATTCCTTATTCAGATAATGCCTAGAAAAAACTAAAAGCTAAGCATCTCAAATATGAAATGGGAGGTAAAAATGAAGTAACTTGAATTTGAGAGAAACTAGAAATACTTTAAAAATTTCATTCTTTTTAACAATTTGAATAGTATTACTACTCACACACATATTCACCTGTGAAAATTTATCTTCATTTGATTAAAAAAAGCTCATGAAACAGTATTAAGTAGTTGAACACGAGCTCCTTCACAGGCTCTAAAAGATAAAGCAAAGCACAACATACTTCCACCTTTCTCTAGGCCCTGCTGCTTGTCTTTCGTCTTTTTAAAGCCCTTCTTGGGCTGGGGAGGTAGCTCAGCAGCTTAAGCACCGGTAACGTCCTTAAGTTTGATCTCCCGTAAAAAGAAAAGAGAAAGAAAAAAACAAAGAAAAGTTCTTAAGAAAGTAGGAAGCCTCAGAGCTGACCTGTTTTAGAAAGCAATTAGAATAATACACAGTACTACAGTAATGATATGCAGAAATGTACATATCATTAAAGGCAAAAGGAGAAAAGGTTATGTCTCAGTTACAAAAATGGG